TTATTGAGGCTCTGCTCATTCAACTGTGCCTATAAAAACATAAATTGCATCAGAGAACGAGCTTACGGTTAATAGAGATTAATTGAACGAGACGATAGCTATCCGATCATGCTCGCAAATTCTCGCTTTAATGTAAAAATATAGGGAATAATATCCTTATTAATACGATCCTTCAAATAAAGGGAACCAAAAACAAAGACAAAGGGAAAGAATGCTGGGAACTCTTGGCGCAGACTAAAAAAGAGAAGTGCTAAGATCGAAGACTTGTTAGATAGAGGATCTACAGGAACGATCTGTCATCGATGATTCGCCGGCATTTTACAAGTACAAGGCTCGACTAAGTAATCGCAGGTGTTACATAGAAGGCAGTCCGCAGGTAGATACGGTGGCCGCCTGATTGGCCTGCTTCGACCGGGTTCCATCCTATAGTTTTGCAACGCTAACGTGTGCGAGGTAAAGAGAGGCGGTCGTTATTACGTGTCGCTCGCAACAAATCCGCTCTCGGATGCTATATGCTCCGTTGCTTGCGAGATCATCGGGGAAAAAGCGAGAGAAAGACAGGGGAGAAAGGAAGATAGAAAAGGCCGGTACAGTTGGAGCATGGTAAATCCCGTTGGCCACAGCACCTACCGACGATCTGCGACTACGCGAGTAGCGTAGATAGTCTTGCCAAGCTTTCGCAGCGAGCTAACTCGCTCTTCTCGGCTCGCGTGTATTTCCGTTCCGCGTAGAAGTCGTGATCCGCTTTGCAACTCGCCTCCGACAGCCACAGTTGACTCCTTGCCAACCCGATGCATCGCTAGATCATCTTTCAAATTTAGTTCTGCAATTTTTCTTCCTCGATTTTATTATCATCATGTGTGGATAGAAAATGCTCCGTTCTGCTTCGATCGAGGACGTGGATCATCCGCTTCGCGGTAATCTCTAGATCAAGCGGCAATGATAAGGTTCACGCAATCGATCGTGCGAGAGTTTCGCGTTACAGTGAGTGCAACTAGCGTGAAACCAGCTACCAAATAAGGGAAAAGCGTGGGTTCGAGCGTGCGAAACGAGTGTCCGAGAACAGTCGGTGAGAAGAGAAAGAAGAAACAGTATGAAAGGGAATGTTTTAGTCGTTATTGGATCGTGATACGAGACAGGAACGCGATTCGAAGCTGGTTCTTCTGCAAGGGCGCGGCGAATGAAAGAAAGGGAGAAAGAGAGGAAACATCGGTGGAAGAACAAAGCGGAGGAACCAGCGGCGCTGTCCGATGTGTTTGGCCGGCAGCCACGTTGCTTCTCGTCTGAACGTGCATTGGATGTTTCAGCAGCTGGAAAACGAGACGGCATGGACTAGCCGCTCGGACCGTGGAAACCCTTGGAAGGGAAAAGGGCAGCGGCATCCCCTCCCCTGGCCCTGCAACACTCGCGACGCTCGGCGACGCTGCACCGTCGTCGGTTCCCAACGATCTTCTCGCCCTTGCCGCCTCAGCCGGAAGGTGAGTCGATTTCTTATTTCGCTTCGCTTTGTGTCTCCTCCGTTACTTCGCAAAGATATTCCGCTCTTGTTGAAGTGTATGTTAATATTCATTATCAGCATTTGTATTCTCCAGACTGTGTACCGTAATCGGAGGAACGCGTAGCTCCAAATTCTTTGACTGCAATTTCGACTAGTAGAAGACCGATAGAAACTGAATTTGAACAAAATTGATTCACAGCTATGAACCTCGATGAAAAGGAGGGGAATGATTTTTATCAGCGCAAGCGGGAAATAACTTTTTTTATCGTCTAATTTACGTACCTCTGCCATTACTTTTTCCTCTAAAGATCGAAGACCACCGAGTCTAGTCTTAAAGCTACGAAAGTAATCCAACCCCTCGAGCACAGTACTGTACTTTAAATGAATAGATTTTGGAGTCGTTTTCGAATCTTTCGACTATCCAAATGGTATCCCTGTGAGCTTTATAATCCCTAACGAAACGCGGGATATATTTTCTTGAAGAATAAGGTACATATCGAACGATTCGTTTTCCACGAGGCAGCGATGCCAAGAGGAAGAAATCCCGCGTCACGTTTCTGGAAGGCGGTCGTCGTAATCCAAAGATTAACGGTCGGACACGTTCGTGTCGTCGATGTGGCGGCGTCTCTCCCTCGCCCAACATCCTCTCTCTTTCCCACAGGATGGATTTAATGCTATCCCACTTTTGTTTTATCATCGGCTATCAGCGGCCATATTTCAGCGCGGTTGGCCATATGATCTTCATTAGGATCCCGGAATTCCCGCCACGAAGGGGCAATTTCATTAAACGAAAGCCCGAAAGAATACCGTGCGTGTAGGAACTATCAACGCGTACAGTTCGTTTCGGTCCTCCTGTTTTTACGATCCGTCCGCTGCCGCGTGTATTTTACTTCTCTCTCCGTGCACGCATCGTTATGTCCGTGAAACTCCATGAATCGACTTTCCTAATTGAAGCTTGCCTTTAGTTGTGCGCTTGACAATCGACGATTGGAAATTTGTTCGACATTTGTTTCGATGTTCTGGGAAATTTGATGTGGTAACAAGTGGCGAAGTAAACTATAGATTATATTGGTTATAAATTTATTTCAGCGTACATACTATTTGTAAACTATGAGTAGGTAAAAATAAATCTTCCGGTCATCGAGAGTTATTACGTCTTGATTTCAACGCACTAGGTACTCGTATTAATCACAGAGTAGTCACTCAAAATGAGTCGAAGTCTCCTCTATGCGCAGCACGCGAACCGATAAAGACGCGAAACAGCGACATTGCAGCCAGGTGGACTAAATAAAATGCGAAATTTATGGGAAAAAACGAGCGGAGAGAAAGATAAATATTGTGCAACCTGTAAACTGGCCAACACATTCTCGACTGATGCTCAGAGGATCCCGAATAAAAATGGGACGAGATAAAATAGCCAAGGGGCGCAAGAGTAGACAGATGAGAATTGAAAAAGGACAGAGAGAATGTTCCAGGGGTAGGCGGTTATGGCGCGTTGTGTTTCTGTTCGCATGAGAAAAATGTCCATATTCCGGTGTCCATGTATGCACTGTATGTCGCCATATACGACCAACATGTTTTTACAACGTTGGTTTATGTCGTCGTAGTGAAGATTCGGACGAAGCTAACTCTTCCCTTACATGTTTGTAGGTATTGTTCGCTGACAGTGAGCTTTACATTTCATCCATCGCATATGTAGACAGATATCGGATAAGAGATATTCAAGAGGTTCATTGAAAATAGTCTATTATCATATCGATAAAAGTTCTTTGTTTATTTTTCAATCTGTATTAATTTTAAAAAATAATTATCCAATGGCACTGTATTAGTTACCAAAACAGTATAACTTCAATGAATTATTTTATATCTAACAAACTCGATCGAAGTTTTTGAATTTTGGTAATCTCTCGGCAAAATTAACGAGCAACTTTTTAATCTTAATTTATGAATTATAGAATACGAATTAATAAGTCGCGTGTAAGTATCTAATACTTATTCTTTATGTAACTATAGAGAATGCGAAGTTCTATGGAAGATTTCTAATTTTCCACTTATTGTTGTACAATCATAAGTTTGATTCATATTTGATGAAGTGCCATTATGAAATCCGGCGCGCGTCACAAGAACTTATCGATTTCTCGTTTTTTTATACGGCTCGATAAAAGCTGCGCGCTGTGCCGTTTCGATTTTACTGTGAACGGGTTCTCCGATGGAGGAGGAGGTCATGGGAAACGTGTTCAAAGATGGGAACGATTTTGCGGCGCGTTGAGAAGCATGGCCGCCGTCGGACGATGGCGTTCTCCCGCTTTCGAGATCCGTTCGTTCCTCTCTCGGTTCTACCTCCTTCGGTTGTTCCTTTCACCCGACATCCCCACTTCGAGGAATCACGATTTGGTGCGAACCTACGAGCGAGCACCAGGGAATCAAGAACCCAACCCAGCATCCAACTTTTACCTGATCAAGAACACACGTACCACACGTATTTACCTGGCGTACGTTGGCTGGATCGCATTTAATCTACTCTTTGGCCAATTCCCTTTTGAATTACGTATTTTCTTACTTTCTTACTGAAAGTTTTTTTTTTTAAGGAAAGTTGCTTCTCGTTTGTTTGAGATTCGATGAAAATTAAACGTCGTAGGTAACGAAGTTACCTTTTCTGTGGAACTTCTTGAAAAATCTCTCTCCTTGAAGAAGCATTTAAGATAGATTTGTTGTAAGCTGTGGTTACAGTAAATGTGTGTTTTTTACGAATTATTATTCCGACAAATATTTTATTACTTGTGTGAAAAGTTCAGAAGCTAGTCAGTGTAAGTCTTTCATTAAAAATGATTAATGAATGATTATATTGTAGCGATTATGTAATCACTCCACTGTTCGAGCAATTAAAGATTTTCACAATAAAAATATATTTGTATGGCATAAATCGTTATTTTATGAAAAGTGACTTACAAAAATGATTGGCTTTTGAGTCCTCTACATACATTGTTGCTCAAAAGTTTAGAGCATTCTTCCTTTGACGAAGCAAACTTTCTACTATTATTTGTCTAAGAAACAATAATAATATAAATTCTTGTGCACTTTCTATGTATCTGTATTTAATTCTTATTACATACATTTTGTCGTGCTTGTCAGAACACATGAATATCCATTGTGATCATATCTAATCCATTGTTCAAACTTGGATTACTCTCTATGATTTGGGATATATTCTATAAAATATTTAGTATAGTTATACCAAGGTCCAGAAACTGAAATCGTTACGGAAGGAAGAATTTTCGAGGGGCGATTTGTGAAACGATGTGGGGCGATGCCAACGCGAAGAAATAGAAACGTTTCAGCCAAAGGAGAGAGACACATGGCGCGGAGTCGAGAGAACGACGACGATGTTACCGGGTTGCCCACGCACACTGCAATCCGAGCCAGCCATTTTGAATTCCAGCAGGCTTTCTGCAGCGGCCGAGCCAGAAGGGGAGGGAGCCTGTGGATACCCTTGTCCTCGTCTTATTTTTCAGATGTCAAAGGACCGAGGCCACACGAGGCAATATTGTTGATACTTGATGTTGCAGCCATGTATATTCCAGGGCTCCGCTTGGCGGGAGATCCTTTTTCTTCTGCTCCGTCGATTCTTTTTTGCCTTTGCTGCCGTCTCTTCACTCTTCGTTGTCGCTGAACTTAAAACCGGAGTTCAAATTCGAGCTCAATCCGTGATTATAAAATACTTCGATCGAAGAACGACCCAATCTAATTTTAATAGATCTGTTTCGCCGATTCTCTAAATACCAGTTGTCTTACGACCAAAAGAATCGTACGGCTAATAAATTATACGAATTCAGAAACGAGTTTAAATATAGAGAGCGCGTTTAGTTTGTGTTCTATATAGATATGGTAGATGGTATTTCCCAATAGCTACGATAATATAACGGTGATTGCACGTATACAAGAAAGACAGAGCTTTGAATACGTAGAATTTAGAATACGTCACGTTGTCAGAGGTGTTGGTTGTCTTCTAACTTAATGGCGGCTGCGATTTGGAGAAGATAGAGGGCAGCTCGAGTACGAAAGCTCTCCGCTCGTCGCTCGTCCACTTAATCAACCGTACGAGCAGCAATATTCATAACTTACGGGGTATAATGTCGTAAAATCTATCCCGCGTCCATGTTTTTACGGAACGACCTCGAATTTATTTGAATTCCCGTGCCGCTTCGGCCACCATTTTCTACACGACTCGCGCGCGTATTTCGCTTCGACAGCAGCGGGTCTTTATCACGAACCGGCTGCGCTTTCGAAACCGTGCGATTGGCTCGTTCTTCTTTTCTTTTTTCTCGTCTTCTCCACCGCTTCTTTTCGTTTCACGCGTTTCTCCCGCGGTTTCGCGTCTAATAAGGTGCAGAATTTATTTTCCCTGCGATGAACCTTCCTTCGCGCTGCTTATTATACTGCCACGCGGATACAACCGGTTCGTTTATCAGTGACGCGAATTTTTTCTATCTTAGGTTTCCTTATGTCGATGACTCGACTCAACACTGGTTGTTTTTCATTCACGTATCTAATTTATCGTTGTTCGGAGGATATACGAAACGCTCAGAACTCATGTCGATTAACTTTATAAATTGGAAAGCAAAGACAATTATGAACAATTGTGACAATTATTTATATTATTTTCACTTAACAAATAAATCCATAAAACTATAAGTCCTTAGTTTTTTGAACTGTTAAATATTAATCATGTATCTGACTAATGAAATTGAAAGTTACATATATAAAATAAATGAAGATTATTAGAAAAAAATGTAAAACGAAAATTGATTAGTTTGATCGTCGCACAATTATGTTTGAAGTAGGTCCTCTATCGATATTCTTTCGTTTTTTTTGTTAGAAGAACGTTGCTTCGTGAAAGTTTCCTATTACAGAATACCTTTAGTCTTGGAGTAGTTTCGGTGTCCTTGAAGTAGGTATTCATCGCAAATGGAGCACCTTTTAAGCAGCATTTTTGGTGAAACCTGTTTCCTTAGAGGGTAGAAATTTTGGAAGAGATACCATAAATGACAAATTCTAGACCATCCAGTAAAAAAAACTACTCTACTCTTGAGAAGAATTAAAACAAGGATAGGTACATTTCAACATGGTTTCTCATTTCTACATATAAAATAACGTTTAGTGTCTAAAGAAATATCCATAATTAATTTTCTAGTCTGTTAGTCTATCACTAATTTTTCTAAAATTTCCTATTTTTCCTAGGTTAAAGTAATTTTTTAATAAAATAGGAAAACACAATTGGATTGAAAATTGTGCGAAGAATTTTACATATTTTTATAAATTCTTGCAAAATATCTGCTGTTTAATAATTACACTGTCCTCTGTAGTGTTCCTTTTTTTTTTCAATATTGAACAATGTTCTCCTCGGATCGTCTTCAGACGAAAATTCCTGCAACCAGACTTATCAACATTTATCCAGAGTTCAGTTCAACCTTCACTAGATAGAGGACGTTCCCAAAAAGTGAGGGCGGTGCGAGGATCGTGAAGACGCCTCGGTTCTGGTTGGAAATCGCGCGGCAACCGATCGAGGGGCCGTGTGTTTTCGAGCCGTGCGTCGCGTCGGGCTGATTATTTATTCAACGAGAATAGACTTCTATATCAACTTCCTATGTTTGGGATCGCGTGCGCGCGCATAAACCGGCGGATCGGTCGGTCGATCTGTAAACGTTGCATTTTACGAGCGACGACAAGTTTACGCGAATCGCTCGTTACCCGCGTACCTTCCTGACGCGATCCTTTCGCGATCGGGCGAAAATGTCGACTTCCTCCTCACCTGAGACAATCGAGAGATTTGCTATTCGACATCGTTCATTTTTATGTGCCATTACGGAAATGAGTTCGATGTTTCCTTCACAACGTATTTGTATCTTATTGGTTACCCATTAACTTTTTGACGTTACGTATGTAGATATAAATTTTAAAATTAATGCCAGGACGACTGTAAGCCTCCTTAAGTCATTACGTAAAAGACCACGCGGAAAGAGACACGTGGAGCTCATCTAAATTTATTATTAGACTGCGAATTTTTATGCAGTGAGAATGTGTAAGGAAGGCATACGGTATGTAAAAATATACGAAATACCAAAATAGAGTATCTAACTCGTTGTAATTTTTAATCAGTACTATCGGTAAGATTATTAATCATTCCAAGATTAATATTAAAAAAAAAGAATATAAGTATATAAAAAAATGATAATAGAAAATCTCATTGGAATTGAGGCGAATCAAGGGTAAGAAGCTTCACGTGTGCATGTTGTAATACATAAAATACATAAAATTTACGTTCGTGTAGCATGCTTAACGTTGATTTACACTGGACAGGCTACAAGAGAGATTGTAGCGCATATACTATCAGCAATTAGAAAGCTTGAACAGAAAACTCACTGATGATCGAGTAAAAAGCAGCAGCTGTCCGTGATTGGACCGTTAGTTATGAGATCAATTGGTAAAAAAGAATTTTATATGCCTGGCATCAATTTGATTGACGTTCGATTTAAGCCAACTGAAGACGACAAGGCTCGTCGACGTGGAAATCTCGATCTCTCGGAGTTGTAAAGCAAAATTCAAAAACGTTCGATGTTCAGAGGAATGGAAATTGGTCAAATAGTATGAAAACCGGTGTTTGAGTTTTTCTAAAAAACAGAAACTTCTACGTACTTGTATGTTGCACTCGCAAGTAATTGATCGCGAAATTAATTCGCAACCAGATAACAGTCTACCATATCAGCGGCGATTATCGTGCTGAGAATTCCAACAATTGTTTTTCTTACCATGTTATCTTGTCTCCTATTCTCCTCTATTTTAACTATGATTTTTATAATTGGAATTTTTATTCAGAATAAATTTCTGACATTTTTTTGTAATGTTTTAAATTCTTGTAAATTCTGTGATTGAGTAAAATTTTTCAAAATGTAATTTTTTTTAAACGTTGATATAGATATGTAAAGAATTCATTCATATCAGAAGGTATTTCTTTCAATATGAATTTTATATATTTTATGACATAAGTGGGCGGATGTTTGAGCGTTATACGAATATAACACCAAAATTTTATTTCTTTCGCTCTTCTTTTGTTTATCTTTTCTAGAAGTCTCGTTTGTTTATTTCTCTCGGTGTTTATTCTCTCTCATTTTATGCGTCCGCTTATTTTTCCCGCGGAAAAAAGAACTTTTCATTTTCGTGGAACAGTTCTTTTATTTATATTATCTCATCCTTTGATATCGCAGTACGAGTAATGAAATGGGGTTGTTTTTTTTCTGACCGACCTTATCGACCCACCCTTCCTGCCTTATCGATTCTTGGTTAATGACCTTTCACGTGCTTCGTACGATGGCGCTACGATCGAATCGCAGCTTCGAACCTTTCTTTTCTCTTTACTTTCACCACCCCTTAAAAGTACAAAAGAAAAAAATCATTTAATTTTATTTTGCAAAATTATTGAAATACCAAGATTTTAAAACATAAACGTTTATAGTTTATCCTAGTTTGAATGAAACTTTATATACAGAAAGAATATGAAAAATACAGATGCAGTAAATAAAGTATTAATATATTTCTTAAAAATGATTCCAGTTACTTAAAATTTTCAGTTCTAAAACAAATATAAATTACAGATGACAATTCAAACAGATTAATTAATGAAAGACTTCAAATATATAACGAAAAATAGAATAAAACAAATTACCTCATATTAGAGAAATAATATATTTCATTATATGTTATGTAGCAAAGCTCATTTTTAGAGTAATGATTGCAATTCTTTTAAATTAGCTATTTATCACGCACTTATTTGTACATCTTCTTTGTCTAGATTGTATCAATTTTATTTATCTTTTTTCGTGTCAAATGATAGTTAACTAATGTTTAAACTAACTTATTTTTTCCCAATTTTTTTTAATTTAAGTATCGAGTTGTCCAAGTACACCGTGAAAATAATTACAGATTTCAAATAGCTAAAATAGAACATAAAGAAAAACGTACGATCAATGATTCTATATAATCAAGTTAATCTTGAAATTATGTCAACGTTAAACGAATGGTAATTTAATCGAACGTAATCGAGTGTCATTGATGCACGCGGTCCGCAATCTCATCGTTCATCGTCTTTCATCTCCATTTCATTTACGTTTTAGAAAAGATTTCATCGTGGATTTCCATCCATTTTCTGTAACAATGATTCCACCCTTTGCTTTCACCCCTTTTCCCATCCTTGAACCAATCCTTTCTTTCACTTCATAGCAGTCTAAGAACGTAACCATGTTCCCATCTTCGTTTCAACTAAATTACTGGTGAAAAAATGTAAAAAATAGTTGGTCTCAGAGTTATTCATCACTTATTCATTCCTTGTTCTTCACCGATTCTGCACTAGGACGCTTTGACAATTAAATCATTCGAGAGGAAAAATATTTTTTTCTAGTTAAGTCTGAGAACTTTCGAGTTGAATGGCTGATTGTTATAAATGTATTTGCAATTGTATTGTAGATGCTTTCTGGAAACAAATTCCGAGTGCAATTAAATAATTGTATTAGTTAACATTATATCTTAAGATTCTTTAAGGTCTATTATATTATTAATATTAATGATAATTTAATCTACTGCTAATGTTTTTATTAATATACAACATCATGTTCTAACATAGTTCTATTTTATCTTATGAATCCTTTTCCCAGGAAGCTTCTCCATTCATTAAACAATATTGTTACAGTTATCTATATCTTCTTTGTAATGAAACGTTTGGTATATGAACGTTTCTTCATGCAAAATTTCTTCATCTGAAATCGTAGCGATAAATATCGTCGTGACCAAAATAAAATATAGCGTTACTTATTTTGGGATAATGGCGAAGAGCATCGAATGCAACAAGTGTGAAGATACGACACTACTTTTACAAGCTTTTGCGATCGTCGTACAAATATACTATCAGTCGCACAACCTTGTAAAGAAAACCATTTTCCTAAATATTACATAAAGGACGATTCTTCTAAAATTATAGAAAAATAAATTTTCGTTTTCTAAGAAGTGTTGACTTAAGATTCCCCCTTTTTCCTGTGAACACTTCATTTACTAGATTAGTAACACTCACGGTGTCTTTCTTAAGAACTTCTTGGAATAATCTGCTTAGTCTATGACATTAATACTACATAACCCCAGACTGCGTTTGTACAATTTTTTTTTCTTTTTTTTTTTAGAATTTTAGGATTTCGTTTTACAATGAATAACCTCTCGAAGGAGTGGTTGAGCAGTTTCTTCTGTACATTTTATAGTAGCATCTGGTGCTGTATAATAGATCGAGACGTGCAGATCAATAACGTGAGATCTTTTCAAGTGTCAAATTCGATGGAGTTCCAAGTTTTCGTCCTTCTTGGATTTTTCACACTCTTCGAGAGTGTAACTGGCATAACCTAGTTATCTCTCGTTCGTGTCATTGGGGCTATTTCGACGCTCGAAACTCGTTTATGTAACGAGAGAGAATGTTTATACGATTCTGTGAACGTTTTCGGAGTTCTCAGGATCGTTTTTAAATGACGACGTTTATTAAATAAACGAAGGTGAATTCCATTATTTAGAAACGTAGACTATTTTAGATACGTAAAGTTTTAGATGTCATTTGTTTGACGTCAAACCATGGAATTTGAGATCAAGTTTTTTGCATAATGATAGATACTGTTTGATATTCGTAAGATTTAATTGCACAACGAAACATTATTTCGATGTATATTTTCTAAATGAAGGTGTGCAATATCTATCAGGAGTTTGCTACAGTTCTCCAATTTTATATGTAGTTTGATGTTTGCTAATTCCTGCTATTTTTTCTTTTTTTGCAAGCATAATCTACTAAAGTATTTTGCTCAAAGAAAAGAATGTTATAGAAATTAAAATCTGGCAATATTGACATTGTAGTGATTATAGTAACATTGGAAAATCTATCTGTAGGTATCTATTTTACATACGAAACATGTAGACACTCAAACTTTTAGTCGATATAAGATAATATCGCGTACGTTTTCATTAAGATTTTGAATTCTACGTTTCACCATTCTTTAAATTTCGTTTCTGTGAAATATTAATACAAAATTAAGCGAAATTTCCCCTTTTTCTCGGCTACTGGAAGGCCACGATCTATTCTCTGATTCGTCTGCGGCGAGTACGATCGAGTAAACTTTTGCGAGCGGTACAGCTGAGCAGCAAATGTAGCGATCTAAACACAAATTCCCGGTACGTAAACGCAGACTTTGCTACGAGTCTGATGC